TCCTCCATACCTGCTTCATACCCTGGTGGACGGGGCTATGGCTCCCCACACTCCCTAGCAGATCGTTACATGGAGAAACCTTTGGAATACAAGCATGCTGATCCACACAGGTATGCACACAGGTGTTCACAGACGCGGACTACAGCTTTCTTGGCTGCTACCTCAAAACACGCCGTCTATCTTGCGTGCTGCACAATAACATTTAATATTTAGTATCTACTGTTATCTACTGCTAGCTAGTTTATTGTGATGGTGCTGTTTTTTTTATCATGTTGCTCTTTTTTGTTTGCTTTCTCTTCTGTTTTTTTCTCCATACAGGTGATCCAGGTGTTTTGTTTGTCTTTTTTTCTTTCTTCCCCCCCTTCTCACCATCTCTTCTCCCCTTTGGTTTTCTTTCTCTCCCTCTCTTTCTTTCATTCTTTCTCCCTGTCCTATCCCCCAGCCATGTCTGTCCTGTCTGTAACAACCGAAAATAAAATAAAATAAACACATAATTATAATAAAGGTCAATCAAATGGACCAATATGGCCATGATGATCCACTTGGTAAAGTAAATCCACTTGGCATCTTGCTTGGGTTTAAGACAACAATTCTGATGGCTAAAGATCCAAACGGGACAAAAAAAATAAAAAATAAAACACTTAAAAAATATTATTGCCTTCCGTGTTGCATCTGCTCGTGTGTCCATATTCTCACACCAGCCTCCGGGCCGCGAGCCACTAACATTTCATGTAATAAATCTAAGAGTTCGGTCTCACATGGCAGCATTGTGCATTTACAGTATGTCAATAGAAAATTGTACTTAGTAGTCAGTATAAACTTTTAATGATATAAGTTTGCATATGATAGAATACTGCATGTTGACCTTGATGACTTAGACCATTTAAAATTTCCTCAGAAGTCAATGTGCCATATGATTGCATTAGTAATAAATTTAATAATGCTCTTTATTAACAGTTACTCACTATATAGAACCACTTATAAAATTATATTTGTTTGCAGATGTTGGCAGCTATCAGCAAATAGTTTTTAGCTATTTAGAAAGAAAAAAGACTTTTTTATCCATAACAGCAAATGAACTGTACAAAAGAAAACACAAATGCTATTTATGGTCTCCTCACAACAGTGATAAGAAAAATAAACTGGGCCAATATGGCATGTTTGTTAATACAGAGACACACATGTTAATGTGATCTCTGGTCTCCGAGTGTCCAGCATTCAGAGGCTACCTGAGGACTCATGTGAGCCAAGTACTGTCAATAAGGCCTCTGCAATGTTCTGAAGACAGTTAAACATGTCAGGTAGTGACGTCCAGCAGGTGAACAAGCAGCTCCATGAACACGCACAGCTGTGGATTCCAGCTGCTTCGATGTTATATGTATGATTTCTACATTTTACGTTGGATAAAAACTTTGGTTGTAAGCTTCAGATAATTATTTAATAAAAGTGAGACATTTTAAATGAGAATAAGAAAGTATTTCTTTGTGCCCCCCTCTCCCTGTTAATGCCCTACCTGCCCCCCTGGCAACACTTTGCTAGACCCGCCCCTGCACAGTTACCAGCTGTCAGCTACTTAGAAAAGGATCCTGGTGTTATTAGTCTCTCAGAAACAGTTCATAACTTCA